AATTGTGTCCGTGTGTTTCTTTTCCTCCTGAGACCCTCCTCCCCCTGGACCCGTGCCGCCGCCTCGCCTCGCGCCTCGCGTCCCGCCTCTCTCCCTGGCCCCCATCGGCGGCTGTGCGGCGGGCTCTCTCGTGCCGTGGCGCCCCAGGCGCTGGCACTTTTGCTCTGGCACTGCGCGGATCTGCACAGGAGGAGGAGGAGGCGGAGGACAGAGGACAAGGAGGAGGAGGACGGAGGACGAGGAGGAGGACAGAGGAGGAGGAGGAGGAGGAGGAGGAGGAGGAGGAGGAGGAGGAGGAGGAGGAGGAGGAGGCGGAGGACAGAGGACAGGAGGAGGAGGAAGAAGGAGGATGAGGATGAGGAGGAGGAGGAGGAGGAGGAGGAGGGAGGAGGAGGAGGAGGAGGAAGAAGGAGGTAGGAGCGTCTGGAGGGTGAGGAGAAGGACGGAGGAGGAGGAGGAGGAAAGAGGGGAAGGAAAGAGAAGAAGCACCAGTGTAAACCCAACAGTCGCCAACGATGTTGCAATATGCCCTGCCTCCCAGCGTCCTCCTTCTGGGCCCCAGGCGACGGTTTTTCTGACATTGCGCGACTAGGTGGCCACACGTGGGCGATTTCGAAGACCCTGAACCCAAACGCGGTTTCATCTCTTGGTTTGGACGCCCGAAATGGGTACGGAAAAATTGGCACAATGCTCAACAACAAATGTTGTCCCAAACCAACAGCGGCAGCTGTTGGGCAGGCGGCCTTCTGTCTCGAATGGACACAGGCCGCGGCGGCGTGGACAGCGAATCCTGTTCAAAATGAACCGGATCCGCTGTTGGGCATTGTCCCCATTCTTTCCGTACACATCCCGTTCGTGCAGACTTGGGGGCGCATCTTTTACTTCCGCCGCCCTTGCGCTGGCTTCCGCCGGCGGAGGCGGCCTCATTTTACTCCTGCCGCCCCTCCGCCGCTCTCCGCCGCGGAAGAGATGACAACTCCTTCGATCCTCGAAGGCAAGGCCTTGTCTGGAACGCCTCACGTGGACCCTACCCCCGCCCCCCACGATTTCTGAGGGGGGTGGGGGTTCAATCCGCTCGGTAGCTCCCGAACGAAGTAACCCCCCCTTAGAAATCGTGGAGGGTGGGGGTAAGGTTCACGTATGGCCACCGAGCGATTCCGGGTTTCCGACAGCGCAGATCGCTCGATGTTGGCAGACGCTGAACTTTCGGGCGTGTTCCCCTACAGGCGGAGTTGGGAGGAAAAATAAAAAGACTTCAAAAAGATGCCCAGAAATAGCCAAAAATTCGTCCCCCGACTATCTTTTTAATATTATTTTTAGAGGATCCCTTCTGTAGAGGGACGTGCCCGACTGAACGCTGGGCCGCCCGCGGCGCTCAGTCTTCAGCGCCCGCGCTGGGCCGTCGCCGCGAGCTGGCGGGGACACTGGACCGTGGGGGGCACGCCGACCCCGATCCCCGCTGTCGGAGGTCGGGGGCGGCCAGGAGGGGGGCGTCCACGAGGGGGGGGTGCAAATCATGACCGGCGGCACGTGCGTGGCCCAGGGGGGGGGGGGCTGGGGGCGTCATGAAATAAGAAGAGGCGCCATGAAATCTGGGGAAATATCATGGCCCACGTCATGATATCCACCCCCCCCTAGTCATCACCCCCCTCTTTGCCGCCCCCAAGGAGGGAGTTCGACTGGACAACCAGAATGGGTGCCAAACTCGGAGCCTTTCGGGGGCCCCCGAAAGGGGGTGGTGACCACACCGCGTGGTAAGTCGGTGGGGATCCGGGGTCACCGCACGGTTTTGGGACTCGGGTCGTTCTCCGAGGACGTCTCGGGCGACTGGGGCATCCGAGGTCCCAAAACCGGGCGTTGACGGACCGTGCGGTGAGGTCTTTGGGGATTTCGACGTCAACGCACGGTCTGTCACCGCACCGTTTCGGGACTCCAAAGGCATACGATGGGTCGGCGGCGAGCCGGGAGGAGGGGAGAGTGAGAGGGGGCGGGCCTTCTCAGAGGGCTCGGAAGTCCCCCGGCCCTCTGACAAGTCATCTAAGCCTTCCCCGAAGGCACGGAAACCCTCTCAGAAGGCCGGAAGCCTTCTGAGAAGCCCCGAAGACCCCGCCGCCTTCTGAAAAGGCCTGCTCGTTCTCGTTTCCCCCCCTCGCTCGCCGCCGAATGGGAAAAGGGGGGCGTCCATCCTCGACACGGCTGCGTCCGAAGAGCCCCCCTGGGGGTGTAACTGGGAACAGGAGGACGAGCAGAAAGAAGAGGAGGAACAGGAGGAGGAAGAGGAAGAGGAGGAGGAGGAAGAGGACGATGAGGAGGAGGAGGAGGAGGAGGAGGCGGAGGGGCGCGCTTGTTTCCCGCCGAGAGAAAGAGGGGGGCATGCAAAACGAAAGACCTCCTGAGGTATCCCCGGATTGCTCTGCTCCCCTGAGCGGGAGCTCAAGGACTGAAGGAGAGAGGTCGCCCGCGACCGTGGGCAGGCGGGGCTGACGCGAAGCGGCAGGTGTTCTCTTCTTGCTCCACACCGGGTCCAGGGGCCCAGTCATCCGACGATCTGTTTGTTTCAGCCCACGCCCCCATGACGCCCCGACCTCTCCAAAACGAAGCCACGACGAAGATAACGTCCGGTGAAGATACACTGCGATCGCGGTCGCAAAGAAACACCTTGCAAGAAACCCAACCCTGACAACCCGCGCGCCAAGTGCACCTGAGGGAAAACACGGAGCACCCTGAACGCAGCAGCTTCTGGGACGGCCGCGAAAAGTCACCGCGCAGCGCGCGGAGGGAAGAAACCCAGGTTACCCTGACGAGAAGCACATGGTTTTTTGATGCGCGCCCCCACTGTACGTCGAGAGTCGCTGAGAACCGACAGCTCTGGAAAATGTCTCGGGCGCCACGGCCTCATCAGAGCGTTCCACAACGCTCCGAGAGCGCTCCGGAACGCTCCGAGAGCGCGTTCCGGAACGCCCTGGAACGGGCTTATCCTCGTCCTGGCCCCGTCCGACCCTCCCCTTGGCCGCAGCCTCGCACCCTGGACCCATTGTTGAGGGCCCTGGGCCCCGACACCGGCCCCCAAGGCCCCAAATGGAGGAACAACGCCGCGGTTGAACAGAAACGCAAAGAGAGAACACTGAACAACAAAAGAAAACGTCGGCGGTCTTCAGGGGAGGCAACAGTTCCACTACCACCAGCTAGGAGGGTGGCCACTCCCTCCCCTCGAGCTGGTGACACCTCCTTCCGGGAACTCTCCGGAGGCATGCCCGGAACGAGGTGCCACCAGCTCAAAAGGGTGGGACAGCCACCCCCCTAGCTGGTGGTAGTGGGACTTTTGTCTCTGGTGAAGTATGGGGATACGCGAGGCGCCCAGGGGTTGCCCCGCACCCAGCCGCGCCACGGAGGCCACGCCCGCGCCGTGCACCGAGCGGCCGGCTAGTGCGCGAGCGTGCACGGGTGCGCTGACCCGCGAGGCGGGCCGCCTCGAGGCAACGCTCGCCGTCCCCGCCACCTCCTCCCTGGCAAAAAAACTCACACCCAGAGACCCAACGCATTGAGAAAATCAAGACGGAAGCTTTTCTAACCCTAGCGGCCCTCGCCGGGCCCCGGGACCGTTAAAAATGACTCCGGATGAAAAACCAGTCCTGGAGAATGGGTCGAGACTGCTGGGCACCCCGCAGTGCCAAAAAATCCCGACATCGGATCTCTGGGCACATACACACAAGCACCGGCCAGTCGGCAGCCTGTTTCCGCACGTCCTGCAGCCGCTGGCGCAGCCCATCGGGTGCGGAGCACGGAGCCGTGCCTCATCGTAGGCGTGACCTTGAGGTGCCTTCCGCCCTCGCCGTGCCGAGGAGAAGAAGCAGCCCGCAGCGAACGGCACCTCACGTCGCAGACCGCACCCCGCCGTGCGCGACGCGCGATCCAGCTTTCGCGCCCTCGAGCCCTCGCGCCGCCCCCGCCGATGAAGGCGGCCGCTCTCGCCCGGACCGCGGAGCACGCAGTGCGACCGGGCGCGTACCTCTGCGCTGCGCGCTGCGCGAGGCGCGAAGAACTTCGCGCCCTCGAGGTCGCCCTTGCTCGTGGTCAGCATCAGCATCCTCGTCACCCCCGCTGTCATCACCAGCCTTCGACATCCTCTCCCCGCCCCGCTCCACCGCACCCCCTCCAGATCCCTGCCGCCGCCGCTGCGGATGCAAGGACATCCTCGTCCTCTCATTCCCTCCCCCCACCCCGCCTCTTGACAGGCAGCGCATGGACTCCAGCAGCGTCGTCGTCGTCGTCGTCGTCCTCGACTCCGTCGTCGTCGCTGTCGCCGGCGTCGTCGTCGTGGTCGTGGCACGTGCTGCTCTGCTAGGGGTTTGCTTCCCATATGCAGCGGCCACCACCACCGCCCGCCGCCTCTCCAGACTTGAGCAGAGACCGACCGTCCCGGCATTCCTATAGTCATACCACGAAATGCTCTTAGAACCCCAACAATGTTCCAAGAACAAAAGCCATGTTCTTAGAACGTAGACCCGATGTGATAAAACAAGACAGACTCCGCCAGAGATGTTCTAAGAACATTTCGTGGAAAACACAAAAGGCTATTAGAACATTCTTTGGTGGTGACGCTTCGCCGCTGCTTGACAGACGCCCCACGGCTCGACGACCTCGAGCCTCGAAGCCCCGGACCTCTGCACCCTCTTCCCCGGGATCCGGCGCCTCGCCCCGAGCCCACCTCTTGGCGGCGCGCACCAGGGGGTAGGGGGAGGGGGGAGGGCTTCTTAGAAGGAGGCTGCTTCTTAGAAGGAGGCTGCTTCTCGGAGGGCTTCTTGGAAGGCGCCTTCTGAGAAGCAGGGGTGCTTCTAAGAAGCCCTCCCCCCTCCCCCCACCCCTCTGCGCGTGGCTGAACCTCTCTGCCGGCCCCGAGGGCCCGAGCCCGGCCTCCAGGGAGGCCAGCACTCGCAGGGGGCAGCTCGGGCGCGCCGTGCGAACCCTGGCCCACGGAGGGCGGGGCCCCTCCCCCCCGCCTTTGGACAGGGAGTGCATGGACGCCAGCTCCACGTCGATGCCGCTCTCGTGCGCGATGCTAGACACGGACCTGGCCCACGACGACGACGACGACGACGACGACGACGACGACCAAGACCGCGACCACGACCACGACGCCGACGCCGACGCCGACGCCGACGCCGACGCCGACGCCGACGCCGCCGCCGCCGCCGCCGACAGCGGCGACGACGACGACGACGACGACGACGACGGCGCGCGGCGGCGGCGGCGGCCAGCGGCAGCGGCACTCGCGCGGTGGTCCGCCGCCGGCCTGGCGCTCCTTGGCAGCATCGCGGCGGTCCTCCTCCTCCTCCTCCTCCTCCTCCTCCTCCTCCTCCTCCTCCTCCTCCTCTTCCTCTTCCTCTTCCTCTCACTCCTCCTCCTCCTCCTCCTCCTCTCCTCCTCCTCCTCCTCCTCCTCCTCCTCCTCCTTCTCCTCCTCCTCCTCCTCCTCCTCCTCCTCCTCCTCCTCCTGCTCCTCCTCCTCCTCCTCCTCCTCCTCCTCCTCCTCCTGCCTCGAGGTGCCGAAGTCCCCAGAGGGCCGAGGGTCGGAGAAAGAACCTCCTCCTCCTCCTCGAGCCTCGGGGCTCGAGCCTCGAGGCTCGAGGCTCAGACCCCTTCCCGTCACGGCGACCTCTGGAGGCCTGGGCTCGTCGGAGGAAGGCCAGCTGCGACGGCGGCGGCTCTCCCGTCTGGCCCAGGTTCGCTCAGAGTCGGCCCCCAGACCTGATTGGCCCAAGGACCCCAAATCCCTTGGGAGGGGACCTAAGTTAGGAGGGCCAAGAACGTTAGGGGTTAGGGGCTCTTTTCTGAAAGTGTTCGAAGCCAACCGCCTGGACTTACTATCCCTGATGCAGAAACGGCGACCTCAGTGAGGCCACGCCTCCACGCTGCTATTAGGGTCAGGGGTTCTGGGGACGAAAAACGCCAGGGAAAACCGCCACTGTCTTCGAGATCCATACACACCGGGGATCTGCTGACCCGGGTCAATCCAGACCCGGTCAGTCGGGCCTTGCAGGATCCTGCAAGATCCTCCAGGATCCTGCACCCAAGCCCGGGTCAATGCGACCCTGGCCCTGCAGGATCCTGCACCCAAACCCGGATCAGTGCGCCCCTGGCCCTGCAGGATCCTGCAATATCTGGCGCTCTGGCTGACCCCCGTTCGCATTGACCCCCGTCTCCTTGAGCCCCGAACGCAGAAACCGTCGGGAGCTCCGCGCGGCGTCCTTGGATCGGAGCTGGACCCCCCCGCCCCGGCGAGCGGAGCGCGCCAGGAGCAGCGCTGGAGGCGCCGCCAGGGGGGGGGGGCCCAGCGCCGAGCCAGGACGTCCAAGAAAAAACGCCCGCGGCGGTCGTTTCACAGCGCGAGGGGGGGTCTGGCTTTCTTATCGCCCCCCCAAATACTTTTTGGTTGGCGGCTCCCTGGCGAAGGTCAAGAAGCGGGGCGACTACGGACGGGGCGCGAACGAAGCTGCCCCCCCCCAAATACGCGACGCCCAATCCCAGACCCCGACTTCGTCATGAACCCTTTCCCCGGGACCAGTTGTTCATCCTGAGTCGTTTTTTGACGGTCCCGAGGCCCAGTAAGGGCCCCCGGAGGCCGAACATAGGGAAAAGGCAACGCGATTGTTTCGCAACGCGAGGGGGTATGGGTTTATCGCCCCTCCATGCACGCGACGCCCAAGAATCCGGGGGGAGGCGCCGCTTCCGGGGCCGCGACGCGCCGCCCCTGGGAGGGGCACGGCGCAGCCCCTCCCGGCGGCGGAGGCTGGCCCCGTGGCGGCCTCCCGGGCTCGACTCGCGGCGCAGGGGGCCCGGTGCCAAGCGAGCACCGGGGCAGGGCGCGGCAGGAGCTCGACCACACGACGCCTTCCACGAGGGACCCCAGGAGGAAGAGGAGGAGGGGGAGGAGGAGGAGGAGGAGGAAGAGGAGGAGGAGGCGGAGGAGGAGGAGGAGGAGGAGGCGGAGGAGGAGGAAGAGAGGAGGAGGAGGAGGAGGAGGAGGAGCAGGAGGAGGAGGAGGAGGAGGAGGAGAATGAGGAGACCCCAGGACGTCCACTGACTTTTGGTGTGGGACCGTCACGCGCTCCGCAGCAAGACCGTCGCAGCCTAGGAAACCCAGGGCACCCTGGAGGGAAGCAGGGTGCTTCTTGGCATGGGCTTCCACGCTCCACTTGCTCTTGAAGCAGGCGCCAGAAACAGCCAAGACCTGCTCCATGGGGAAAGGAGGGGGTGCGAGCGCTCGCGCCGATCGGCAAAACATTGGAGAAGAAAACGAGCACGTCCGAAAGATGATGCTTGTGCAGTTGCACTTCCTCGACGGGGGGGTCTGGGGCTCCGCCCTCCGCCCGACTTGAACGGGTGCTGGGTCAGCACGTTCTCCTGGTACACCTCGTCCGCCATCAAGACGAGGCCCTGAGCGGCCCGGCGGGGAATCCCGGACCGCCTGTCCGCCCGCCTCCTCCCCCCCTCCTCTCCTGTGGCCCGTCGTGCTCCCTCCCCCCCTCCCCCCCTCCCCCCATGTGCCCCCTCACTGCTCCCCTCCCCCTCATCCCTCAGTGCTCCCCTCCCGCCCTCCTCCCTCCTCCAGCCCTGGGGAAAGGGCGGTTCGCACGGTCGCGACGGCGCTCGATGCCTGGCCGCCTGTCAGAGGCTACATAGGCGCCATTTCGTTCTCTCTCGTTCGTTTGTCCCCTCAAGGGTCTGGACATCTGTTTGTGTCTCTCAGTGTGCGCCCAGCTTGCATCATGTGCAGACGAAGGCGGATCATTCCCGCGCCGACGTTGAGCAAGGGAGCGAGCGGTGCTGCCTTCGCCCCTTCCCGCTGCTTTAGGTCGGGCATGTCCATAACCCAAACATATTCAAAAATACCCAAAACATCGTCCCCAGACTATGTTTGGACTATTTTTGAATATTCTCCCTGTGGAGGGACACGCCCGACTCAACCGTTGCTCTCTTCCCCCCTCTGCAGAAGAAGAGAAAGCTGCACAGACACAAGCTTAGGTCGGGCATGTCCCCCATGCAGGCGGATGTCGGGCGATTTCTGTCGTTGGGGAAATCTACAAATACAGAAAAATAGACAGAACATACTAATAACATCGTCCCCTGACTATTTTTTGACTGTTTTTGAATTTCCCTCCTGTAGAGGGACATGCCCGACTTGAACATCAGCTGTCACAGGTCCGCGCAAAGTTCGCGGATCGGCGGTGTGCCCCACGGCAGCGCCCCCAGCGCCGCCCCTGACGCGCTCCGCGCGCCGGGGAGGAGGGTTCAGCGCAGATCCAACAGATCGGCGAGGACCTCGTGAGCGTTTTCTTACTCGACGTTTCGACATTGGGCGGAAGGGGGGGGGAGGGGGGGTCTGGCTCCAGACCTCTGCTTAGTGCAACTGTTTGGAATAGTGCGTCTTATGAGGGGAGACTCCACCTGCTCGAAACAGGCGCCCCAAACAGCCAAGATCCACGACTCCATAGAGAGGAGGGGGGGTTGGGGCGAGGGCCCGCGCCGATCGGCAAAACAGTGAATAAAAAACGATCACCTTCGAAAGTTGTATGTTTATGTTTGTTGTTCTTCGACGCGCTTCCCTCTTGCTCCTGTGGCACCTGCTCTGTTCGGTCATCCTCAGAACGCATGCTGGCGCTGACGTGTGCCTTTTCCTCCGGAGCCCTTCCATACGGCGCAGCGGGTGTCAATAGTGAGGCCCGCACTGCACGGTGGATCTGAACGTGGCAGGCACACTTTGGACGAGCGCAGGTCCTGATTGTATTGAATGTAGATATACACGTGACCAAATACTCCTGAATAATGTCCCAGAGATAGAAAAGTTCGGGGCTCTGGGGGGATAGTCAAGTTATCCTGGCAAGTCTCAGCATCAAGGACGCAACGTATTAACTGAAGAGGAGGGAGAGGGGCAGGAGGATGAGGGTGAGGCCGCAGGGCTTGGAAGGGCGCCTGATCGAGACGACCTCGCCGAGCTCGTCTGGAGCTCGGCATGTGTTGGCTACAGCATTCGTTCCGAAAGATCTCCTCGTCCAAGCGCATTCCTGTGCCATCATTTTTCTCCGCAAAGCTCGGCCTCGCCGCCCCCCCCCCCGCTGACCGAAAGTGCATTGGCCGGAGATAATCAACTCTACGGTGCCACGGGAGAGATACAGTATTATGTGGGGCACGCGGTTGTATGTATGTTTGTCTGTATGTATGTATGCATGCATGTTGGTGTGTATATATATATGCACTTGTCAACCGGCGGCGCAGAGGGTCCCTAAGCGCGGGCAGCCGATGGAGGTGCTAATTGCGATCGAGCGCTGTCGAAGGCACGGTGCACGAGACGTCGCGCACTGTATATGTATACGCCTCGATTTGGCGGCGCGCACAAGTGAATGGCGCGAGGGTGGCATCTTGGAAAACCTCCTGACTTCCCCCAAAGCCATCTTGGAGGCAGCAGCAACAAAATGTCCCAGGCCGCTCCGAGAAGCCCCCGCCTCTTGGGCGCGCGCCGCCCGCACTTCCCCGCCCCTTCTCCTGCTGCCTCAGAGCCCCGTAGACTTGGGCACGCCAGACCAAGACGTGCAACATCCCTCGTAACAAGTGTTTACAGACTGCGGCACGAGAAACAACTGCACTGCAGCTGTTCTGGAATGAACCCGGACACATGCCCTAACAGCCTGCACACCCCCCCTGTAGACCGGGACAAAGGCCCGGATCCTGCAGCGCAGCAGCAAAAATGGTGCTCTGGACGACCAAACCTGACTTTCCAGGAAAGGGTGTCGATTCCCCGACTGGCTGAGGTCCTGGTCAGTCTGTGTCCTGGTCTCTGGGAGCCTGACTGCCCGTCCCGTGTACCTCTCTGAACCTCCGTCGGACTGACGTGCTCAATCATCGCCCCCCGAATTCGGCGGCGAGCGAGGGGTGGAAGTGAGAAGGAGACAACCTTCTCAGAAGGCGGCGGGTCTTCTCAAACGCCTCCGGCCTTCTGAGAAGTTTTCTGCGTCTTCGGGGAAGGCTTAGAAAACCTCTCAGAAGGCCAGGGGGACTTCCGAGCCTGCTGAGAAGGCCCGCCCCTTCTCGCTTCCCCCACCTCGCTCGCCGCCGACAAGTGCCTCGACCCCGTGCCCGAGGGAAAGTTTGGCCGCCGATCCATGTGCTTCGGACAGTCCCGGGGCACCTGAGACCGGCACCTGGAGGCCGAAATTAGGGGGCCACATGCGAACCCTACCCCTACCCCCCACGATTTCTGAGGGGGAGGCTGGGGTTCACTTCGCTCGGGAGCTCCCGAACGAAGTGAACCCCACCCTCCCCCTCAGAAATCGTGGGGGGTAGGGGTAGGGTTCGCATGTGACCCCCTGGAAATCGGAGAGGCACCCCCAGATGGAACAAACAAAGCAGGTCCGCCGCGGGTCTGCGCATGCGCTGCCCTCCACTCGCGGCAGGGCTCGACCACCGCGGGCACGGGCCAGCGAGGGCCGCGAGTCTCGTGGGCTGCCGGGCGGACGAGTGGCCGCCGTGGCACGAGCGCCGGGACTCGAGACAGTTTTTTTGATTCGCGGGTCGAGAGCGCACCTCTTCCGGTCGAAGCTAAGCGGGCCGCGCGAAGTTTGAATTAACCATTGAGGGGGACGGGACTCGAGACAGGCGCAGCGCAGCGTGCCGAAAGAGCTGAAGTTCTGGCGGAGGGGGGCGGGAAGGGGGGGGGGTCGTGGTCAACGTCGTCGTCCTCCTCCTCCTCCTCTTCCTCCACCTCCTCCTCCTCATCCGCCCCGATGCGTTTCGGTGGTTCTGGGTCAGCGTCGCTGTCGTCTGAATGGGGTGCCGTCCACCTTTCGTTGACACCCGTGCGCTCCTCCTCCTCCTCCTCCTCCTCCTCCTCCTTCTCCTCCTCCTCCTCCTCCTCCTCCTCCTCCTCCTCCTCCTCCTCCTCCTCCTCCTCCTCCTCTTCCTCGTCGTCCTCATCCTCCTC